GGGGAAAAAAGAGCGAGAGGGAAAAATGGAAAAGCGGCGAGAAAGGAGAGGAAAAAAGGGGGGAACAGAAAAAACAATATTTACGCCGGATGCATATTCATGCGGCGCGATGCTGTCGTCCCGGGCCAAGTGACGCGGATTAATATGCATAAAATCCTTGCATTACGCGGGACCCAGGGCTGACGGTGATCTTTCATGTAGCTGCGACTAATTTTTCGTGTACCACATACGCGACGTTTCAGTCGAGTCTGTGATTCGGGGATTTTATTACCATTTATCGCTGATTGTTCTTAAATAGAATGGAGTATTTCACTTCTAATTGGAACTTCAGGGTTTATTTGTTTTTGTAGGGTTTTCTGTGTATTCGATTTTTTTCTTTGGAGTGAGTAATGATGATTGAGAATGTCGGTTGTGTTATATGGTCGTTTAAACGAAGTTCACTCATCGTAATTGCATCTTATTTTATAATTTCAATATCGTCTTCCATTTGGTAATGAAACGGGGTTTAAGTATCGGTCGTTGAATAATGGATTCGTACACCGATGACTGCGACCCGCACTCGACGGCAGTCAGTTGAAAAGTCTTTATATCAAACTACTCTATAAGATTTTGCCTTTCAAATAAGATAATCCGACGGGAATCATTCTTAACTCGGGATTGCACGAAAAATAGTATCGCCATTTGAAAGTAAGAATCGGCTGCTTTCCGTGGATACTCTTTCCGACGCGGTATTGAATTCTACTTAGGAATTCGATAAATTCTCAGTTTCCTTGTCTTAGCATTCCAGTTGAAAGAAGTTTGTATGAAGTCATTTTAAAATGACCATCGTGAGTGTAACATAAAAATATTTTTAGTTGAGTAAAATTTGCAATTGTGGGAATCGTAATCATTGTCTCACCGACACTCGGGAGTTTCACAGAATTTCGCGCGACACAAAGGAGAAGCGTCGTAGAGAACGAAGGGGTGGAAACGTCGTTCTGCGTCTGATGGGGATAGATTTGCTTAGCGCCCTCGGGGTTCCCAGCGGGTTATTCGCGGGCAAGAAAAAGTAAAGAATAATGCGCATTTTATGCGGCAGCTCGGCCAAATTCTCCGTAATTTATCCGACAAATGGACAGAAAGCGTTGGACTGAGCGGTGGGAAGACTCCCGCGATTTGAAAATTTATTTTTGAAAACTCAACAACCATTTCAACATTTTCATTCAAATATAGGAAAACATTTGTCACGCTCGAATAGCAGTCAGTTATAACTTTCTCTTTTGAAAAATAGAAACTTCAATCGTCTTCAATTTAAATCAAATTATTTTCAGTTTGAAGAACAAATAATTCTTAATTATAGAAAGTTTATCATTGGCTCTATTCTTTCAAACCATCACATTTCATATTAACCCTCCCCACTCGAGATGTGATTCGCCGCTTGACTCGGTACAGAAAAATCCTAAACTTTTACATATAACATTATTCCTTGCATGAAACACCAACACATAAAATATTCAAATAAAATATCTTCCTTAATTTACGTATATTTTTTCATTAGTCAATTTCAAAGAAAGTCGTCCACATTCACCAGAAAACAGGAGAATATTTCCAACAGAAGTTCGAACGCAAAGTGTTCCTTCAACAAATAAACTTGGCATTGCAATTCAAATCTTCAACATCACTTACAAAGTCCACACATACTCGAAGAATATTTCCAACCCAGCTCCATCTTGTTCCCACATTCTCCGCGGCCATTAAGTGGCTGAATTGCGGAAACGAACGATGCCCGTCCGTAGCCGGTACCTTCACCCCGCACCTCTTCTCTTTTTTCCCAGCCGGGTGTTACGTGCACCTGCTCGCCACCGTCTCGCTCGATCCTCTTCACCCCCCTCCAAAATTCAATTTACTGGCTTGTTCCTCGGACCGGGACAGCGTGGGCATGGGGGGTGGGCTACGCGTGTGGCTCTCGTGTTGCGGGGAACGTCTGATCGTGACAACGGGCAGACTATTGACGCTTAACAGTACTTGTTCCAATCGCAATCTTTCGATCCCCTTGACTTTCCTTTTAACTTCCCTCGCCGCTCGCTCGCCGCCCCTATTCTCCGTCGACCTACCTCTCCTCTCCCTTTCCAACCCTCGCGTCCGAACTCTCGGACCTATCGAGCCATTCCCTTCTTCTCCCTAACCGTGGGCCAGCGGTTCATAAGGCTGACGAGACTCGTATAGCGGTACAGAGAGAAATCTTGTTGTCCGACGCGAATAGAGGGCATTCCACTGTCTGACCAATATCGGGGGCTTTCTCCTTTATCAGGCCAGACCCGGGCTACGATACCATTGCTCGCCGGCCGCCGCCGCCGCCGCGCCGCTGGAAACTCCATCGTCAGAACCACGCGAACGAAATTCGTGGCATTCCGTTTTCCTTCTCTCCTCTCATCCACCGATACCGTTCCTTCGTCCCATCCATCTATCTATCCATTCCCTTCCCAGCCGTTGCTCCACCCACCGCGCAATATTGTCTCTCGATGGCGTTCGATTTTCCTAAGGTTTGCATGATAATGGCCTGATTCATGTAGACATCCATGGAATCGTTCTTTATAAGTTTTCGGTACTCCCACCACTGTCGACTCGAGGCACCGTCTACTCCCTCCCGCTCTTCTTCGTCTGTCTCGTGCCACTCGTCTAGAGACGGTGAGCTCCTTTTGTGGAAATCCGCGCGAGCGCACGGGATTGCTGGAAATAAAACGTCGATCCGACGGATGATGGTTATTGGGTTGCGTTTCAGATGTTGCTCGCCCCCTTTTTACAATTGCTGCTGGATTCCTTGCGGGCTTTTGTCTGAATTTTGGTTGTTACGAGAGGATAGAGTTTTGAGGACGGTTTTATGGATTCCACGGCGTGAGAGAGTCTTTTGAATTCAATTGCGATGGAAAGGGTTTCAGAGGGAATTCATTGATATAAGTAGTTTGCGTATTTTATTTGTAATTACCGGTTATGTGAAGATTAATTGATCGTTTGATTGAATTTAAGGAATATATTCTATAGATAGACTGTAGTTTTGTGCGCATGGGAATTTAATGAAAGTAATTAATTGAATTAGAGCAGTTTTAATGACAGTAAATCTACTTCAAAGTTTTTTTATCATTTTTGCTCAGATGTTTTGCTAAATGTTTATTCTCTGAATAAATACGGTGATTCATGTTAATTTTAACTTACAACAGAAGGCCCACTTGTAACGAGAAAGTACAAGTTGAGTTACATTATTATCCCATTCTTTGCAGAATGTTTTATCCCAGTGAGGACGCTGATTATTCGTTACATTAAGAACCGGGTTATTTCCCGTATTCTTTTTACAACTCTAGT